CGACAGTAGTCGTTTGACTGCAAACCCATTCTAGTGGCGTGGATTCCCATCAGGCAATGCCCGGTGAGAACTCCAATAACATGCCGCAACAGTGGTCGCTCCAAGTGGAGAAGAGGGTGAGATCTACGCTTGTCAAGCTTAGGCCAGATATGTCTTGCTATCCTGCAAGTAGGCTCCGCAGACCATCTTATATTAGCCTGTCCGACGAAGTTATTCTCAAGCCAGAGCTTGCAAGAAGATAGCGGAATGCCCGCATTACGGGCTGTACTGATTGCAGGCAACAAGGTTCCTTTCCTTGCTAGTTCATCTGCAGTACAGTTTCCTGGTATGTCTTTGTGGCCTGGCACCCACACAACATTAGTGACGTAACACCTTGCCAGTTCATTAAGAGTACGTCTACATTCCAAGACAACCTTCGACGTAGATTTGTCACTATTAAGTGCTTTAATAGCCGCTTGGCTGTCAGATAAGATTGTTACCGCCTTCAGATTAGTTAGAGAATCGATCAGCCAACTTGCAGCTTCATTTATTGCTGTTAGTTCAGCCTGAAAAACGCTGCATAGATCTGGCAGACGGAAACTGAGGCTAAGTGAGAGTTCTTGCGAGTATACCCCACTTCCTACCTTCAGATCCAACTTGGAGCCATCAGTGAAGATGGCTGTTGAGTCAGAATACGATATCAGGACCGAATCCTCCTCCCATTCTTCCCTTGAGGGGATCCTTGTCCGGAAATAATTCTTTAGTCCCGTAGACGGGACTGTGTAGTCCAGGCGCCTAAAGTCATCTGGAAGATTTTCCAAGATTCTAGAGTGCCCAAACCTCGTGTCACTCCATTTGATTAGCGCATTTAATCTAATAGCATTACAGCTTGCCTGTAGTTTACCATATAGGTCCACAGGTAGCAAGTGAAGCAAGGTCTCTAGGGATTTAGTCGGCGTCGATGGTAACGCTCCCGTGATCATCATGCATGCCACCTTTTGGACCGCTGTTAATTTGTTTCTTATTGTAGATTTATCTACGGACGGCCACCAAACCGTTATGCCGTAGAATAGAATGGGACGCACAACCGCTGTGTACATCCAGTTCACAATATGAGGCTTCAATCCCCATTTTTTCCCAATCGCCGATTTACAGGCATACATAGCAGTTATAGCTTTCATGCAGCGCTCTTCTATATTGCGCCGCCAAGTTAACTTTCTGTTAAGAATAACGCCCAGATATCTAACCTCCTCCGAGAAAGTCAGTGCGATACCGTTCAAGGAAGGAGGTTGTAGCTGGACAGCTTTCGTTTTCTTTGAAAACAGAACCATGGCCGTTTTTGCCGGATTGGCACTAAGTCCTACTTCTTTGGACCAGGTATCCACGACGCGTAAGGCGCCTTGAACTAAGTCACATAGAACTTAGGGGTGCTTACCAATTGCCGTCAGGGCAAGATCATCCGCGTAAGCAATGACTTGGCAACCTGTGCCTTGCAACCGTGACAGCAGGGTATCCACAGTTAGATTCCAAAGAAGTGGGGAGAGAACACCGCCTTGTGGGGTTCCGCGACTTGCATATCTTGTTATAGATACCTCCCCCATCTCCGAGTAAATAGTTCTACTGCCTAAGAGGCGACGAACAAACTCAACCATAGGGTGATCCAGCCCAAGGCGAGCTAGGGCTTGAAGGACCGCTCTCGGGAGAACATTATTGAAGGCACCCTCGATGTCCAGGAACACGCCTAGTGCAAATTCCTTAAAAGCGAGAGTCTTTTCAATGGTGCTGACAATACTATGCAAAGCTGTATCCACAGATCTACCTTTCCAGTAGGCGTGCTGACAGCTAGAGAGATTATTTACATCAATTTCCTGTCGGATCTGCAAGTCAACAAGTCTTTCCAGAACCTTGAGAAAGAAAGAAGTAAGGCTTATCGGTCGAAAGTCACTTGGTTTAACGTGGGAGGGTCTACCTCCCTTGGGAATAAACACAACTTTCGCCAGGGTCCAACCCTTGGGTATGAAACTAAGCTTGATACAAGCCTTATAGATCAAGACAAGTATCGGACATAACACGTCAGATGCTGACTGAAGTTGGGCAGGGAAGATACCATCCATACCTGGAGATTTGTAGGGCTGGAAGGACTTTATGGCCCAGTCTACCCTTTGTACATTAATGAAGTCCGCTGAAGTCAACGGCCGTTCAGAGATAATAGCCGCGGTGTTGGGCTCCGCAGTACATCCTGGAAAATGCGCGTTCATTAGGACTTCAAGCATTTCCTCAAGAGATGACGTCCAGTCACCATTTGGTTTCTGAATAAACATCGGGTTCGTCGGACTTTTCGCAAGCACCTTTCGCAGGCGATTTTCCTCCGACTGACCCTCTATACTATCGCAGTAATCCTTCCAGGAGTCCCTTTGGGCTTTCCTGGTGGCATTTTTAAATTTCTTCAGGGCTGTCTTATATGCAGCCCAAGAACCATCGCGCTTTGCCGCATTAAAGAGTATCCTGCTTTCCTTCCTTAGAGAGGCGATTTCTTTGCTCCACTAGTGTGGCTTCTTCTTTCCTCTCGGAAGTACAAGTGGGCAGGAAGCAGATAAGGCCGAATTACAGGCTTCGGTAATGCAATCAACGGCTTCTTCAATTTGTTCCGATGAGCCTAACTCACCGAGAGAAGCAAGGTTTGCGAGAGAAAGCTCCGCTTCATCAGGTGGGGACAGTAAGCCTAGCTTACTGAGAGAAGCCTTGTTGAGCAAATTCCCCGAGAGTACTTTCCTAAACTTAGTCCAGTCAGTACGTCTCTTGTTTCTGTAAGCGGCCGAGGCCGGAAGTTCAAAGGAGATTAAAAATGAGAGATACATGTGATCAGAGAATGAATGGTCGCTCAGTACCTTCCACTCCCTAATACTCTCCAAGAAAGCGCTAGACGATAAGGTAATATCTAATACCTCCTTCCTATTTGAGGTTACAAAAGTGGGTTTATCACCAATATTACAGATAGCTAGATTATATAATAATATAAAATCAAGTAACAACTCACCCCTCGGGTTGATGTCGGTAGATCCCCATACCGCGTGATGCGCATTTGCATCGGCTCCGATAACTATGGGAAACTTCCTCGAGTTGGCCTCTTTCACCACGTCCAGTAACCGAGCGGGAGGGCAGTCTTGGCGATCGTAGGCCATGTAGGCACTGACCAGCCAGAGTGTTGTGGATTGGCTTTCCACAGAGATGCTCACCGTATCTTCATCGCTGAACTGTGTGAGTAAATTATAAGAAATATTTTTTTGATTAATATACATGCCCTGATCTTACCTGCCACAGGTGCCGACACTATGCGGTAAGCATCAGAATTAAGTCCACAAACCCTGTGCTTAACAACCCAGGGCTCCTGGACAAAAACTAGATCCTCCCCTCTATCACTGAGGTGCAGGAGCAGAGCTGCAGAAGCTGCTTTAGAGTGATGAAGGTTTATTTGTAGAACCTTCATCCACAGCTTATAAAATATCGTCCCCGTCCATCACTTCTGGCGGGGTTCTATCTTGTATATAAATCACTTTAATTCAACTTTTATTGACTTGTAAATTTAATTGAATTGCACCCACATTTACAATAACACATGGTTGCAAACTGACACATAACATATGTTGTACATACAAAGAAGGCAATGTTTAAAAAGGAATACAGGGGAAATCAATACAAAAGAAAATTAAAATTTACTGCTACTTTTATTCTGGGCGTGTATTATTATACATGAGGGTTTCCGGTCACGAACCCATTGCAAAAATATTGCCCATGACGTAGGCGGTGTTGTTCCCGCCCGATTTGCTTGCTTTAAGTTCGGTATATGTGCAGAATACGTACATTTCTCTGATTGTAAAAATTTATATTGGGATCGATAGGGGTCTTAGTCTTATGACTGCCTTAATGATCACGGGTATGAACATCGTAAGGTCAACCTTAGCGACCCAGACAACCAATTCGTAGCGCCAGTCGGCACCCACACCCAACGCATTGAATCCCAATGGAGAGTTGTTAAAAGATTCTTCTCCAAGGATAATTATAATAACCCTTCCAATTTTACCGATGTCCTCTTTGAGTTCACGTGGCGCAGAAGAATTGCTCGTAGACACAAGCATCCTTTTCTCAAATTATTGGATGCAATAAAGTATACTTACAACTCATATTTGTTATGTTTTTTAATTCTACTTAGTGAGGGTTATAATCCCTAAGTGCGGCCGAAGGCCGCCTACGCAGAAAGGGGTTCAGCCCCCCTTCTTTGGCAACACAGATAGGAGAATTCTACTTAGTGAGGGTTATAATCCCTAAGTGTGGCCGAAGGCCGCCTACGCAGAAAGGTGTTCTCTGCAAAAGATGTTCAGCCCCCCTTCTTTGGCAACACAGAAGGGAGAATTCTACTTAGTGAGGGTTATAATCCCTAAGTGCGGCCGAAGGCCGCCTACGCAGAAAGGTGTTCTCTGCAAAAGGTGTTCAGTCCCCCTTCTTTGGCAACACAGAAAGGAGAATTCTACTTAGTGAGGGTTATAATCCGTAAGTGCGGCCGAAGGCCGCCTACGCAGAAAGGTGTTCTCTGCAAAAGGTGTTCAGCCCCCCTTCTTTGGCAACACAGAAAGGAGAATTCTACTTAGTGAGGGTTATAATCCCTAAGTGCGGCCGAATGCCGCCTACGCAGAAAGGTCTTATCTGTAAAATGTGTTCAGCGCCCCCTTCTTCGGCAACACAGAAAGGAGAATTCTACTAAGTGAAAATTCCGAATTAAAAATCCGCTTTTATTATTCAAAATTCCAGTCTGGCAGCACCAAGTTTTATGATATTTTGCTATCATATTCATCGTTTATATGAAAACTTTAACAATAAATTATATAAGAACGATAGGGTTGCTAAAAAAAGGGGGGTCTTTTTGAAATCAGGGGGTCATATTCTACGCCCCCTCATCCCCCCTTTTTCTAGAATTTACCGTCCGTCTACTAAAATTATCCCAAAAATTTAAACAACAAATTACTTAATTACTAGTATTAAAAAAGTGAAAATAGTGAGAATTTTTGTAAACATATCTGTTTCTTAGCATCCTCGTAAAGATTCATAAGAAAATTCGTTGTAGTTTTGCTAAAACACACATATGTCGATGTACACTAAAGTCAACCCGTAATTTTTCTTAAATTTCCATCTTTTTTTCTTTTCATTCATATGCAGTTACATTAAGAAGCTAATAGAGGACAGAGCTGTTGGTGAGGAAGGTGTCTAGCTACTGCAGTACTGCAGCTGGGAAAATCCACAATTCGCACGTGCCCACTAGCCGAACCATGAGAAAATACGATTATGATATAACGACGACGAAAAGTGGTATCAGTAATAGATTATGAATGCTCCGTTTTGTATGTAAAATTTGAGTATTTAATGAAATCTGTGTTCGTATGGAATAGTAGCTTATGTCGAAAGGCTGGCTTTAGTATAAAGCGGCATTCGCAGCATACCCTTACGAATGACTCACTGGCGCCGAGCCGTTGAAGAAATTTTGGCAAATATATGTGAAAAAAATAGTTCCGATACTAGCTAGTCAATATTCTTGTTAAGTCTCATCGAAAAATTCCTTGAGTTGTAAAGAATAAAGGGAATGGCGGATTATACTAAAGCCAGCTTCCCGACATAAGCTATTATTCCATATGAACACAGAAATATAAATGTATATAAAACTGAATAACTCAAATCAAATTGGATTGCATTTGCATAATATA